AGCAGCGGGAGGAGCGCCAGGCCCAGTTCGCCCTGCAGCGGGAGCAGCTGGCGCAGCAGCGCCTGCAGCTGGAGCAGATCCAGCAGCTGCAGCAGCAGCTGCAGCAGCAGCTGGAGGAGCAAAAGCAGAGGCAGAAGGCCCCCTTCCCCGTGGTCTGTGACGGACCCGGCCGAGGGCCTCCCCCGGCGGCCACCGAGCTGGCGCAGAATGGCCAGTACTGGCCGCCCCTGACCCACGCGGCTTTCATCGCCTTGGCAGGACCCGAGGGGCCGGGGCAGCCCCGGGAGCCCGTGCTACACCGTGGCCTCCCCAGCTCTGCCTCGGACATGTCGCTGCAGACCGAGGAGCCGTGGGAGGCCGGCCGCAGTGGCCTCAGGAAGCGCCACTCGATGCCACGGCTGCGGGACACCTACGAGGCGGAGCCGGGGCCCGAGCCCAGCCCAGTCAGGAGGATTGCGGACAGCAGCGTGCAGACGGACGACGAGGACGGGGAGGGCCGCTACTTCCTGAGCCGGCGGCGCCGCACCCGGCGGAGCGCAGACTGCAGCGTGCAGACGGACGAGGAGGACAACGCCGAGTGGGAGCAGCCCGTGCGCCGCCGCCGGCCCCGCCTCTCCCGCCACTCGGACTCGGGTTCGGACAGCAAGCACGACGCTGTGGCCTCGTCCTCCACAGCCGCCCCCGCCAGGGCCACGAGCAGCGTGGGCATCCAGACCATCAGCGACTGCTCCGTGCAGACGGAGCCTGACCAGCTGCCCAGGGTCTCCCCCGCCATCCACATCACGGCGGCCACTGACCCCAAGGTGGAGATCGTCAGGTACATATCGGCGCCGGAGAAGACCGGGCGCGGCGAGAGCCTGGCCTGCCAGACGGAGCCGGACGGGCAGGCCCAGGGCGGGGCCGGGCCGCAGCTCGTAGGGCCCGCCGCCATCAGCCCCTACCTGCCCGGCATCCAGATCGTCACCCCAGGGCCCCTGGGCAGATTCGAGAAAAAGAAGCCGGATCCCCTGGAGCTCGGCTACCAGGCCCACCTGCCCCCGGAGTCCCTCTCACAGCTGGTGAGCGGCCAGCCTCCCAAGTCCCCTCAGGTCCTCTACTCGCCAGTCTCGCCCCTGTCCCCACACCGGCTCCTGGACGCGCCCTTTGCTTCCAGCGAGAGGCTGAGCAAGGCTCACGTGAGTCCGCAGAAGCACTTCGCGGCCGACGGCGCGCTCCGCCAGCAGACGCTGCCTCGCCCCGTGAAGACCCTGCAGCGGTCTCTGTCCGACCCTAAGCCCCTCAGCCCCACCGCTGAGGAGTCTGCCAAAGAGAGGTTCTCCCTCTACCAGCTCCAGGGGGGGCTGGGGAGCCAGGTATGGGCACAGGGGCTGGTCCAGGGGGGGGCCGGGGTCTCTGCTTAGCCTGGGCCCCAGGGGAGGCTTCTGGGGGATGGACTGGGCTCCAGAGGGAGGAGTGGAGGACAGAACCTTCCCTGAGGCTCGTGTGGAGCCTGCTGCTTGGCCAGGACGTCCTAGGCAGATGCACCCCAGGGGCCCTGCATCATCCGTGCAGACACCAGTGGGAACTGCCGCCTCCTTAGCACCGCCTCCTCCGGGCCACACCCCCTGTCAGCCTCCCTAGCCCTCCTGCCGGGCCCTTTCCACTCCAGACCTCCACTGTGGGTGTTTCCTGAGAAAACCGGTCCCACACAGTGACTGTCCCTCCTCCCAGCCCTGGCCTGGCCTCCGTGGCCCCACACGAAGCCCAAGCCCTTGTGTGGCATTGGGGGCCACCCAGCCGGCTGCAGGGGGCGCTCTGCCCCCTCGGGCCTTCAGCAAGTCTGTTCACACACCTGTCTCCCCCACCCCCCGGTCCCCCAGGAGCTCCCGGAGCATAGCTGTACCCTGGTCTGTGGCTTTAGTTGCTAAAGGGACTATGAGAGGTGGCCTGCATGCGCGGCCGTGGGGGGTGAGGGGGTGAGGGCCTCACGCCAAGGACCCGAGTGCGGGCTGAGGAGGGGGGCGTCTTTCGAAAGCCCTCGGAGTCTTTGGAGGTTCTAGGCGGGGAGACAGGACATGGCGGGCATCTCGGAAAGCCTCCTGGCGGAGCGCGGGCAGATGCGCTGCAGGAAGAGACTGCAAAGAGGCCAGGGCAGCCGGAGCCAGAGGCGTCCGGAGGCGTATCTGCCGTCTCCTGGGTCTGATGCAGAGGAGAGAGGTGGGCCTCGGGGGCTGTGCAGAGCCCGGGTGTGCAGGCCAGAGGAGTGCGGTGGGGTCAGGAGTCTGGCTGGCAGGGAGGGCCGTCAGAGCAGAGGTGGCCTGGCTCCAGGCTCCAGGGGACAGAGTCCCAGGGCTGGCCACGTGGGGCCATGCCACAGTGAGCACTCATGGTGCAGCCAAAGTAACAAGACGGACACAGCCCGAGTCCAGCAGTGAAGCCTGTCCCATGGAAGGTCCCCCTTTTGCTCAGAGGTCTGGGGCTCACTGTTGCTTGACGTACAGTGAGAGTGGGCGGAATTGTCATGCAGCTTTGCAAGCTAAAGTGTGAGGAGCCCGATGGCAGGCCCCATTGCATTCTGGGGGCTTGGGTAGTCCACGCCTGGGGCCTTCTGGGAAGGCGACGAGCCAGAGACAAAAGGAGGGCCCAGGGCAAACCTTCCAGCAGCGAGGAGGGGCTGGGAGGCAGCGTCAGGCCCGCACACCCTCCCCCCACGGCAGCCGTGACCCAGGAGATGGACTCGGAGCGTGGGGCTCAGTCCGGGCTGCGGAGAGAGCTGGGGCAAGGCTGCCAGCGCAGCCACAGGGTGTGGCGGGTGGTGCCGGGCAGCTGGGGGAGGAGGGTGGCAGGCAGCCGAGGTGCAGGTCACGTTAGAGAGGAGGGGCAGGAGGCAGCAAAGGCCCCAGAGCGGCAGCCGCTGACACCCCGTCAGCCCGTGCTCCTTCCCAGGGTTCCTGGGAGCTCGCCCCGCTGGGGGCGCTCTCCTCCGGGACCCTCTCCCTGCACCCACGTCCCTCCTCACGGCCCCGTCCCCACAGCTGAGGGGACCACGCCCAGAGCCCGACCCGCACCCTCCTCCCCTCAGGGCCTCCCGTGGGCGTCGGCCAGGCTTCTAAGAGCCGCGTGCTCTGATGTCTTCGGAGCCGGGCCGGTGCTGGAGAGAGCCCAGGGCAGCTGTCCTCCCCGCCCTGTGCCCAGAGCACAGGCAAGGACCACAGGCCGGGAGCGGGGTGGGCGGGCCTAGAGGCTGCCTGCTGAGTCAGGGTATGGAGCCTAGCCCCTGCCCCACCAAAGCCAGGGCTCTTCCACCCTGTGCCCCGCCAAGCCACCCACACCCTGGGTCTCAGTGCTGCCGCCCTTCCCTCTGTCTCAGGTGTCGGCGCTGCCACCCAACGGCCTGGTCCGCAAGGTGAAGCGGACACTGCCCAGCCCTCCCCCCGAGGAGGCCCACCTGCCCCTGGCTGGCCAGCCCCCCCCCCAGCTGTACGCGGCCAGCCTGCTGCAGCGGGGGCTGCCCGCCGCTGTCCCCCGCCAAGGCCAGCCTGCTCCGGGAGCTGGACCGGGACCTGCGGCTGGTGGAGCATGAGTCCACCAAGCTGCGCAAGAAGCAGGCAGAGCTGGACGAAGAGGAGAAGGAGATCGACGCCAAGCTCAAGTACCTGGAGCTGGGCATCACACAGCGCAAGGAGTCTCTGGCCAAAGACCGGGGCGGCCGCGACTACGCGCCCTTGCGAGGTCTCGGTGAGCATCGGGACTACCTGTCGGACAGCGAGCTCAACCAGCTGCGGCTCCAGGGCTGCGCCACGCCCGGACAGTACGCAGACTTCCCCATCGCCGCCGCGGCTCCCGCCACCCCCTCCGGCCCCGCTGCCTTCCAGCAGCCCCGGCTCCCCGCTCCGGCCCCGCAGTACTCTGCAGGCAGCGCTGGGCCGACTCCCAACGGATTCCCAGCCCACCAGGCACCTGCCTACCCTGGCCCCAGCACGTACCCAGCGCCTGCCTTTCCTCCCGGCACCAGTTACCCTGCTGAGCCTGGTCTGCAAAGCCAGCAGGCTTTCCGGCCCACAGGCCATTATGCAGCCCAAACACCCATGCCAACCACACAGAGCGCCCTTTACCCAGTCCCGGCCGACAGCCGTGCCCCCCACCCAAAGCCACGCCAGACGTCACTAGCCGACTTGGAGCAGAAGGTGCCCACCAACTACGAAGTGATCGCCAGCCCCGCCGTGGCCATGTCGTCAGCCCCGTCCGAAACCAGTTACAGTGGCCCCGTGATAAGCAGCAGCTACGAGCAGAGCAAGACCCCAGAGCTGCCCCGGGCCAGTGACCGCAGCAGCACGGGCCCAGCCCCCACCTACCCCTCCGACTCTCACTACGCCAGCCTGGAGCAGAACGTCCCTCGGAACTATGTGATGATCGACGACATCAGTGAGCTGACCAAGGTCAGCACCTCCACGGCCCTGGACAGCCAGCGACTGGAGCTCCTGGGCCCGAGCGGCGGTGGGCGTCCAGGGAAGGAGCCAGGAGAGCCAGGGGCCCTTGAGGGGCCCACACTGCCCTGCTGCTATGCCCGGGGGGAGGAAGAGTCCGAGGAAGACGCTTACGACCCCCGTGGAAAGAGCGGCCCCCACCGGGGCATGGAGAGCGATGGCCGAGCCGCCAGCACCCACTACTACGGTGACAGCGACTACCGCCAAGGGGCTCGCGCAGACAAGTACGGTCCAGGCCCCACGGGGCCCAAGCACCCCTCCAAGAGCCTGGCCCCGGCCGCCATCTCGAAGCGCAGCAAGCACCGGAAGCAGGGCATGGAGCAGAAGGTCTCCAAGTTCTCGCCCATCGAAGAAGCCCGGGATGTGGAGTCAGACCTGGCCTCCTACCCTCCCGCCGCGGGCAGCAGCGGCCTGGCCTCCCGGGGCAGGAGGTTCCAGGACGAAATCACCTACGGGCTCAAGAAGAACGTGTATGAGCAGCAGAGGCACTACGGGGTGGCCAGCCGGGACGCCGCGGAGGAGGACGACCGCATGTACAGCGGGAGCAGCCGGGCCCGGGGCCCAGCGGCGTACGGCGGGGAGAAGCTGTCCAGCCACGACGTCGGCAGCCGGGGCAAGGGCTACGAGCGGGAGCGCGAGGCTGTGGAGCGGCTTCAAAAGGCAGGCCCCAAGCCCTCCTCCCTGAGCATGGCCCACGGCCGGGCCCGGCCCCCCATGCGGAGCCAGGCCTCGGAGGAGGAGAGCCCTGTCAGCCCCCTGGGACGGCCCCGCCCCACGGGGGATGCCCTCCCTCCTGGAGACACCTGCCCGCAGTTCTGCTCCAGCCACTCCATGCCCGACGTCCAGGAGCACGTCAGGAACGGCCCACGGGCCCACACGTACAAGCGCGAGGAGGGCTACCTCCTGGACGATTCCCACTGCGTGGTGTCCGACAGCGAAGGTAATGGCTGTGGGGTGATGGCTGCGTGCCCAGCACGGGGCCTCCCACCCCTGGGTCCTGGGCCCCGATCTGTCCCCGGGGGTTCTGGCCTGGCGCCTCCTTCCCGGGCCTCTACCTTCTCCACCTGCACCCTGGCCTGGCTGTGGGGGGGCAGGTCCTAGTGTTGCTGGTGGCCGTGGTGCCCGCCTTGGTGTCCTTGCATGGCTTCGGCGAGGCCCCCGCCGGCCCGGGTGATGCTGTTCTGCTTGGTCTCTGCAGCGTATCACCTGGGCCAGGAGGAGACGGACTGGTTCGATAAGCCCCGGGACGCCCGCTCGGACCGCTTCCGGCACCACGGGGGCCACGCAGCCTCCTCCTCCCAGAAGCGCGGCCCCGCCAGGCACAGCTACCATGACTACGACGAGCCCCCCGAGGAGGGCCTGTGGCCGCACGAGGAGGGTGGCCCAGGCCGCCACGCCGTAGCTAAGGAGCACCGGCACCACGGAGACCACGGGCGGCACTCAGGCCGCCATGCCGGCGAGGAGCCAGGCCGGCGTGCTGCCAAACCACACGCTCGGGACCTGGGCCGCCACGAGGCTCGGCCTGCTCCTCAGCCCAGCCCGGCCCCGGCCACGCAGAAGAAGGGCCAGCCCGGGTACCCCAGCTCGGCCGAGTACACGCAGCCGCCCCGTGTGCCGTCAGCCTACCACCACGCCTCCGACAGCAAGAAGGGCTCCCGGCAGGCCCCACAGCCAAAGCCAGAACCCCAGCCGCAGCCGCAAGGTCGCCAGGCGCCTCCAGGGCCTCAGCCGTCCCAGCAGCCTGCAGCCAGGCAGACACCCTCAGCAGCAGCAGCAGCAGCAGCACGGGCGCCGCAGCCCCAGCCCCAGCCGCAGCTGCAGGGCCCCGGGCCACAGCCCCCCCAGCAGACGCCACAGGCGCGGACACAGCAGCAGGGCCAGCCAGCCGCCCGGGGTCCCGCCGCTGCCACCAGCCAGCCAGCCGGGAAGCCTCAGCCCGGCCCCGCGGCCACCGCAGGCTCCCAGCCAGCAGGAGCGGTAAGCAGGGCCCCAGGGCTCAGCTCCCCAGGGCGGCGGCCACAGCCTGGCCATCCCCTTGGCTCCTGCTGGGCGCGGTCAGTCCACGGGCAGCGTCTCAGCTCTGGGTTCTGTGTTGCAGCCGCGGACAGAGCAGACCACCGCCTCTAAAGGGGCAGCCAAAGCGGCCCAGCAGGGGAGGCCCCCTCAGGCTCAGCCACCGCCAGGACCTGGACCTGCAGGTGAGCCTGCCCACTGTGCCCTCGCCTGTGCCGCAGGGAGCCTGGCTGCCCCTGCACCCACCGCCCTCGCTCCGGGCACCGCAGGCCCCACTGCTCCTGAGAAGGGGCCTGGGCTGTGGCCTCCCCGGCAGAGGACGAGCCTCTTAGGATGAGCACGGGGTCCGCACTGGAGCCTCGGGGGCCCAGGCGCTCTCGGCAGGGACCTGGGAGGGACGGGAGCCCAAAGCAGGACCTTGACTTCCTCCTCTCCCTCCTCCTCCTCCCTCCTGACTCCCGTCCTCCTGGTCTTTCCCTCCTTTTCCTTCTTGACCTTCTTCAACATCCTTTTCCGCTTCTTCACACCCTCTTCTCCCTGTTCTTCCTCTTTCTTCCTCTGTCCTCCCGCCACCCCTGGCACTTGTGTTCAACACCCTCACGCCGTCCCCCTCAGCTCCAGGAGCCAGGTCGAGCTTGGCTGTGACGGTGGTTTCTCTCCCGCTCCCCCCAGGCATGAAAGCTGGAGCCAGGCCCGGAGGCACCCCGGGGGCTCCCGCTGGCCAGCCAGGGGCCGAAGGGGACAGCGTGTTCTCCAAGATCCTCCCCGGGGGGGCCGCGGAGCAGGCGGGCAAACTGACAGAAGGTGAGCGCTGCCCATGCCAGGTGCCGGTGGGCGCTGTCCCGGGCCCTGCAGACGGAGCTGGGTCTGGGGGCTGCCTCCGCTGGGTCCCTGGGCTGGGCCAGCTGGGGGCTCGGGCTGCACTGGCTTCCCAGTGCCCTCTGACCCCGCCCAGGAGGGAGCCTGATGCCTCTCTCCTTTCCACCTCACAGCGGTCTCTGCTTTTGGCAAAAAATTCTCCTCGTTCTGGTGACCCTGCCCGGAGGGGTGAGTATGAGCTACTGCACCTCCTCCACGCTCTAGGTCCTGGGGTCCTGGGGTCCTGGGGGCGGAGTCTGGGCTTCAGCGGGAGGTGATGTGGCCAGAGCAGCAGGGCCCACTCTTCTGAGTGTGGGGGGAGGAGGAGGAGGAGGGAAAGGAGGGAACCTGTGCCCAGAGGCCCCAGCACAGGCCGGCTCCGCAAGTCCCTGCGCCCCACACGGTCCCAGCAAAGGGCAGCGGGGCTCCCATCCCTGTCCTTCTCCAGCACCCCTGCCCCCAGGGCTCTCCCAGCGAGGAGTGGGCGTTGGGTGGGGGCTGGGATGCGGCTCCTCCCAACCTCCATGCGCTCCGTAGGCTCTCAGGCTCTCGATGAGATGGAGGGAGGTGGTGTCGTTGTTGTGGAAAAACCTCTGGAGTCCGAGGCCTGGGCGCAGCTCTGGACTCTGCGTATAACAGTGAGTGTGGGGACCAGGCGGGCGGGGCGGCGGAGGGGTGCAGGCCCAGGGCCTGCGTGTGACGGAGACACGAGCTTGAGGTCATACACTGCAGAACAGAGTGAGTGGGGGAGACGGGAAAGGACAGAGGAGGGGAGGTCCCCGGACGGGTAGGCTCCGTCCCAGCCCCGGTCAGCCCGGGGGAGAGAAAGGGCCCAGGCGGGTGGGGGGCCTCCCCCTGGAGCCTTCCCTGGCGTGGCCCTGCCGCTGGCGAGGAGAGGCATGGCATGCGGGATGGCAAGGAGGGTCTGGCCTGTGGTGCCCTCTGTGCGCTGCCAGCCCCTCCTGCAGCCATGGACCGGCCTCCCCGCCTCCTCTCCGCTCCCCAGGCGGGGCCCAGAGGCCCAGTGCTGCTCCTGAGGGCAGGCGTGGGCGGCAGGGCCAGGAGGGCAGCGAGAAGGCAGAGGGGCCTGCGCCAGGCCTGCGGTGGGAAGGCGCTGGGTGGGGTCGAGGGGCTGCCTGCCTCTGGAGGAGCAGGGGACGGGAGGGGAGGGCCACCCCCTCACTCAGTTATTCCGGAAATGGTTCTCCAGCCCTAGGCCGGGGCCCGGCCTGCTCCCGTGCTGGGGACACCGCGGGGCCAGAACCACGTCCCCACACTCAGAAGCTGACAGTCCATTGAGTGGGACAGAGGACAGAAGGTTCAAGGTGAAAGTTAGGTCCAAATGGTGGTTTCTGAAGCGGCGACGCGCTCTGAGCCCATGAAGTCGGGGCAGAAGGGTCTGCCCTAGAGACAGTGGTCAGGGCGAGGGAGACCGAGAGGGGGCTGGGCGGGTGCAGGGGAACAGCATCCGGTGCCGGAGGCGACAGGTGGGCCTCGGACCGGACCGGCAGCCAGCACCCCGAGCCCTAGCCTGGCGGGAGAGGCTGGGGGCGGGCGCCTGCGGGGCGGGCGTGGGCGGCCAAAGTGAGGAGCCTGGCCCGTATCCTAATTCCAGTAGCCACAGAGCAGCACCCCCAGTGCTCTGCCTGCCCTCACCCCACGACACGGGCTCCCTGCCCCTCTCCTGCTCAGCCGGGTGGCTCCTCGTGCGGCCTGCAGCACCTGTGACATCAGGAGCCGCGCTGAGGCGAGGGCAGCGTGGCCAGGTTCCTGGCCGTGCCCTTTGGGTTTAGGGCTGGAGCTCAGTCCCTGGGAAGGGACAGGAACCCCGGGCGTGGCTGGACTCTGTGTCCTGCCACACGACGTGGGTGGGCCGCTGAGCTGCTCACTGCCTGTCACGGGTCTCCCGCCAGCTCTGCGTTCGGCTAACGGGGGGCGAGCAGGCAGCGCTGCTGTGCGAGGCCGTGTCCTGGTGGCTGGAGAGGCTGCCATTTCAACAAACCCCACTCCCTCCTCTGAAGCAGAGCAAAGAGCAGCGGTCGTGTTAAGGAGCATCCCTTCTGGCCCACCCGACTCTGCTGCTTCCTGTCCTTCTCTTCGACTCAAAGCTGCCGGGCACCCATCCCCCAGCCTCGGGTGGGAGCCTGAGTGGGGAGGAGGCCATGGCGTGTGGCAGGCAGCTGAGAGGAGCGCGGGTGGGAAGCAGCTGTCCACAGCTCATGACAAAATCCTCTTTCCTTCCTTCCCGCCTCCCTCCTCCCTCCCTCCTTCCCTCCTCCCTCCTTCCCTCCTCCCTCCTTCCCGCCTCCAAGCATCTACAATCTGGCGCACACTTGGCTCCCAGACTCGCCGGAGGGACGGACATGGTGGGCGGTCTCCGCTGGACAAGTGGGACCACCTGCCGGACCCCTGCTTGACTTTCCGGAGCCCCTGCTCTCCTGGGGCGCCGCCTTCAGGCTGGGGAGGGAAGAGCCTCTTTGCAGACCCTGCGGCCTGGCCAGCCCGGCTTCCCATGCGTTATACACAGAGTTGGCGCACGCTGCCTTTCCCACAGACGCTGCCTCCCTCCACGCGGCCAGAAGTTCTTCCACAGCCTGGGACTGAGAGCTGGGCCCCTGCTCCGTGTCCTCCACATTCCAGCTGGCCCACCTCCCTCTGCCGCCGCAGGGCCCTGCCCCGCAGCCTGCCCTCCGGTGACATCGGAGCAGACTTCCGTGTGCTGTCGCAGGTGGGGAGGACTTGACAAACACTAGGACCTAACACTGTCTCCTTGCTGGAACCAGAGGCCATAGCACCGCAGTGCAGCGTGGGCCCTGGCCGAGGCTCCCGCAGCCCACGGTGGCAGTGCCCGCGCTGGCCGCCATCTCAAAGCCATTCCCCAGCCATCGCTCCCGGGCACCGCCATCGTCTCGACAGCTGGCTCCTCCCCCTCACGCCTGGGGGTTTCTTTTGATTTCGAGAGCAGCCTTAACATTTCAGTTGGTTTACGTGTATACCTCATGAACATCTTCTTTGGTTTCTCCTTCTCCCTCCGCCTCTCCTTTGCTCACCCCTTGACTCTCCTCCCTCCACCCCTCCGTGACTGACGGTTTGGTCCCTCGCTGCTCAGTCCCTGCTCAGCACAGGGAGGAGGCTGACTCCGAAGCAATAGTGGGCAGCAGGCCGCCCAGAGCACAACCCGGGCCAGGCCTCGGGAGCCCGCCGCCTGTTTACTGTGCAATCCAGTCCTTCTTAAGCCATCGCCGGGGCGGCTCGCAGCAGAGGCCAGGCTTCTGGCCGGGCGGACCCAGCGCCTGCACTGGGGAGTGTGGCTCCCTCCACCCCCTGGTGGACTGGGCGGCCGCCCTCCCCAGGCCCTGCCCTCGGGGACTTTCTGTCTCTTGGGCACAGCCACAGTCTCATCTCTAACGTTCTATGCAATGAAATAGAAACCCTCAAAGACAACTGTTAATATTTAATAAATTCCATGTTATGTATAAGGAGTTCATTGCAAACATGCAATTGAGAAACTGGATAGATATGCTCATCTCAGACCCCTCCCCGCCGCCCGCTCCCCTGTGGCTCTGTCTGTGGCATGTTTGACCCGTGGCCGGGCGCTGACGCCGGCGAGTCGCTGCCCCGTGGAGCATGCACTCGCAGCCTCTTTGCACGCTCTCACCCATTTCCAATGCCCAACCCTCTTGCTTGGAGTCCTTGTTGCCTCAGAACCTCCCCTCCAGGAGCGTCCGCTGCCTGTGCACGAGCTAGCAGGGGCCTGCCGGGGTGCCGCCGGAGCTCACCAAGATGGCAGGCGAGAGGCGTCTCAGTGGACACTCGGTGAGGCCTGCTCGGGGCGGGTGTGCGGGAGCATTCAGAAGGCTCCCCTCACCCACCCTTGAGCCAGAGGCATCCGGCCACCCCTACCCTCGGGGGCAGAGCTGGACTGTGTCTGTGGCCTGACAGGCCCAGGGCAGGGCCTGGCTGTGTCCTAGGGCCCCGGCCCAGGCTGGCTGCTCCAGGTCCCTCCCCTGTGGCTGGAGGCGCAGAGGCCTGTGAGCCAGGAGGTGGCTCCAGGGGTCAAAGGGTGCTCAGGAGAGCTGGACATCAGGCCCTCGTGGCAAGGGCAGCTGACAAGGTCATCTCGGACCGAGCAGGTGTCCCCACAGGCAGTGGCTGCAAGCCCAGTGTCTTGGGAGGCTTCTCATAGCAAACCCTGAGGCCGCTCTGCCTCTGTCCCCAGGCCCTGCACTCCTGCCACCCTCATCGCTGGAGCCTGGCCTCCTGCTGCTCGCTGCTCGCTGCATCCCTGCCACTGAGCCAGGAGCCGGCAGGGTGGCTGCCGCCCCGGCCCGGCCCCTCCGAGCTCTGGTTTGCACCGTGCATTTCTCAGGGTCCACATTTCCATGCTTCCCATCAGGTCTACACGGCCCTTCAGAGAGGGATCCTGGCCGCTTCGGGGGGGATAGGAGGTGTCAACCTCTGTGTTGGGCCTGAGACCCTGGTCCTCCAGGATTTGGGCCTCACGCATCCATGGCACTTGCCTCCTCTGAGACCAGGCCTGGGCTCCGGGCGGCGACCTGCGCAAGGGCTGAGGGGGGCCACCTCCATCACCTCTGACCGCCCAGGGCCAGCTGGGCACTGGGGGCCCACAGCAGCTCTCCTGCCACTGAAGCCGGGGGTGGGCAGCAGCAGGCAGATGGCTGCAGGCGGCTCCATCAGATCCGGCCTCAGGCTCTGACATGCTAACTTTTCAGCAAATTTCCTTCTGGCCGAGCCCTCCGAGTTTGAAAGGTCTGACATCTGTCCCTCCCCACCCCCAGCGTACACACAGGTCACACCTGTGCCTTCACTCCTGTGAAGGCGGCCGGAGCAGGCCTCGGGCACAGGCGTCCTGGCCCTCCTGTGGATGCTAAGGGACCAGCACTCGGGGCCGTGGGCAATGGGGAGCCCCGGGCATATCTCCAACAGGAAAGGGTCCCTAGGACGCCGTCCAGGCCTCTGCATACCTGCCGCCCAGCGTCAGAAGCAAGGGCATTCATTTCACAGCGACACCCCCTCCCCGCCATCTGCTCCGTCCCGGGGAGAGCGAGGTCTCAGCCGTGCTGAGGGCAGCATGGCAGCCTGGCCCCGCCCGCCCTGTGTCCCCTCCCCCACTTTGTAAATAGGTGTCATCGTGGACTCGACAGGGTCAGAGTGACAGGCCTGGTCAACTGAAACTCCTCAGAGATGTCACCCGTCTCCCTGGGCACCCAGCCTGCCCCCTGAGAGCCGTGGAAGTGGTGACACCGTGCGTGCATGTGACCCGGTGTGAGTGGGTGTGTGTGTCCGCCTCCAGCTCTGACCCCGTCAGCCCCCTGCAGGCGCGGTGCCCTGGCTGCGGCCGCCCAGCCTCGCCCCTGCTGGCTGCCTCCTCCTCCCCCCCTCCTTCCCTTCAGTCCCTCCCCCCCCTCTTTCTCTCCTTCTTTATCTGAGGGGGGGAGTGCTGTACAAAGTCACACAAACAAGTTTACAGTTGTAAGTGCAATGACCGAGCCCTCCACATGACCTTGTGAAGTGTGTGCGTCCTCCGTGCCCGTGAGAACTCGTGCTACTTCCGTGTCCCTCCCCTGTGCTGTGACGAGGTAACTGTGGCATCAGAATAAAGGACTTGATATCCACAACCTGCAGACTGTCTCGGGTGGTTTCTGACGGGGGAGGCTCAGCCAGAGGAGCACACCCCCCAGCTCGCGACAGTCCTGTCCGTGGAGAAGCGTGAAAGGGCAGAGTGCGCAGGTGCCAGCCAGGCAGGGCCAAGGCCACGCGCTGTCCACGTCGCAGCCCCCACTGAGGCGCCCCGGGCAGGTCCCAAGCTTGGCCCTGGAGGTGGTGCCTCCTCCGCCTGTGCCCAGTGTCCAGGCTGCACAAACCGCTTTCTGGGCCCTGGTTCCAGGGAGCCGGCGAGCAGGTGCTGCCCCCTGATGCCGCCAACAAGTCCTACACCCGCCTGCCTGGCTGTGTCTGCTCCAACCCCCAAATTCAGGGGCTGCCAGACCTCAGTCCTGCCCCAGAAGTACGGGCGAACCTTACTAAAGGAGCCCAGCGTTGCTAGGCAACTTTAAGACCACAGATCAACAAAAAGAGGCTCACCCTGGCCTCTGGCCTTCCGCCCCCTCCCCAGGTTAGCACCTTGATGCATGTCCTTCTTGTTTGTATTTTTCTATTCTTTTTCATTTTATTTTTTAAAAATTATTTATTGATTTCAGAGAGGAAGGGAGAGGGAGAGAGAGACAGAAACATCAATGATGAGAGAGAATCATTGATCGGCTGCCTCCTGCACGCCCCCTACTGGGGATCGAGCCCGCAACCCAGGCCTGTGCCCCCGACTGGAATAGAACCCAGGTCCCTTCAATCCACAGGCCGATGCCCTATCCACGGAGCCACGCCAGCTGGGACTCTTCCTTGTCAGTTTACACAGAAGTTGGAGCAAGCTCCTCCCATTTGTTTCTGCATGTTCACCCAGGGACTCGGGTGGCCACCCCCGGTGCCCAGCCTCGTTTCCAGCGGGTCCACTGCCCAGCCCCGTGGACAGGCACCGTGTCCCCGCTTTCCCGGTGCAAACACCGCTGGAGGAACCTCCCAGTCGCCAGCCTTCCACCCCACTGGCGGCCGGGCCACTCTTCCTGTCCGGGTCCTGCCTGGTTTGCTCACAGTGCCAGCGGCCTCCGGACCTGAGGACTGTTTTTCCTGAAGGAGCTGATGTGGCTGATGGGGAAGGCGGGCGGATTGCGGCCAAAGGCAGGGCAGGGCACGGAGCCAGGGCCCTGGGGTGTGGGAGACCAGCCAGGCTCAGGGCACCGGGAGAAGGGACATCCCTGCTGGCCCGGCTGCTGCCCAGCCCCTCCCGCCCGCCTTGGCCACCAGAGCCGCTGGGTCCTGGGCCACAGGCAGCTCTCCGGCTCTGGGTGAGCTGGACCCCCCCAGGTCCTCTGCTCCCAAGAGCTTGGACTTCGGCCGGGGAGGCAGGCGTCACTGAGTGGGGTGGGTGAGGGCTGGGGGGACCGATAGCTCGCGGGGCGGGCCTGGTGGCTGATAACGACACCCCGAGGGCTCAGCAGCCCGCCCTTTGGCCCGCACCCCAGCGCTCTGCACCCCAGCGCTCTGCGAACCCCGCCCAGGCCAGGCCTGGCGCTGTCCGGGAAGGTTCGCCCATGTTGTACCAGGAGGGACCCACCGGCAGCCCAGAGCGGGAGGTTCCTGGGGGCAGGCGGCTCGTACCCCGCCCGATGACCGGCCCCTCACTGGCCCTGCCCCCCCAGGCCCGGCCGGCCGGCCCACCCTCCTGCGTGGCTCCCACAGGCACCCCCTCTCCTGGAGACCCCGTGCCCGACCCCCCTCCCACCAGCCCTGCGCGACCCTGAAAGCCGCTCCTCTCCTCGGGGTCCCGCCCAGGACGCCCCTCGGGTCCCGGCTCTGCGTCTGGGCCCCGCCCCCGACCATCGAGGCCACGCCCCCTCCGCGAACGGCCCCGCCCACTCGTCGGAGGCCCCGCCCCTCCTCCCGGGCGGCCGGGCGGCGCGGATTTCGGGGGCTCCTCCAGGCTCCGCCCCCCAGCCTCACTTCCGGGCGCCGCTCACGCTACTCACCACGGCAGCGCAAGGAATCAGGTAGGGCAGGTTAGTGCTCTGCCTGCAGTTCGTGCGGCCCCAGTAGCGGACCAGGACTGACCTTGTTGTGTTCCC